TCCTGGCATTGGTCTGCAACTCAACCAATGTTCGATAAGACGAGTTCGCCACGAACTCCCGTATATCCCTCCTCAAGATGCTCAAATACCGGCTCACACGTGCCTGCTCAGTGGACACGTGCTCAGGGCAGAACAACGCCCTCTCATGAAACATCCTCGTAACTGCGGCCACATCCTCATGAATGATCCTACGGATCTCCTCGTCACTGGTACCACTGCCCCCCGAGGTTGTTGCGGGTGACCACCATAATGTCTCTGAAATACAAACATGAAAATCATCAGAGACTAGCTCAAGCACTCACGCCATTACCCACCCCTACATGCTCCTTAGTATCCTAAGGTTCTTACTTGGGTCGCATACAGATCCCGTGCTTTCAGTAGTATGGGCCCAATACTACCGTCCACACCAACTTGTAGTCGTCCCAAGTCCTCCTCCTAGGATCCTAATTCACCAGTACTCTATCCCTCACGGATATCAAACTACTCTCTCGGTAGATTCCTCAATGCTCATATATGTATCTCTCTTAGATTACTCAAAACTCTCTCTAAAAGATTCCTGCTATTTTTTCCCTACTCAGTACACACACAAAGCAAATAGCAAATAAGATCAAGCAATAGCATAATGAATCATACAACTTTAGCTCTAAATTCTTAAATACCTAGCCTATCCTCTAGCATGCAGCTCTAACATCTCATAAATATATCATAATATAAACAAGTAATGGTATTTTGGGAAATCACCGTTCGGGCTCTGGCTGATTGTACACACTGCTCCGTCTCGTTATCTCTTAAAAGCTCTTACTCGTTTTTAGAAAAATCATTTCTTTTTAGAAAATTTTCTCAAATCCTCAGTTTGAGTCCAGACATACCAGAAAGTACATCTGAATCCCTCAAACCAAGGCTCTGATACCAACTTGTAACACTGTAAATTTTCAAACAAAATTTTCATTTTTAAATCACATAAAAACTCAATGTCACATGTTCTCAAAACCACAATGTATCAATTGTCAAAAACACAAATCAACAAAACAATTGATAATATCCCAGAATCCTCAAGCATAATCTGCAACAAGTGTGTACAATCAAGTCGGCTCCTTCCCGCGATCCTGAGAAGTACATGAAACACATATCACACAACACTGTAAGCACGAAGCTTAGTAAGTTCCCCAAAATACCACATACACAAATAATAAGCCTCTCATGGCTATAACTCGCATTGACCCTCCGATCTTGCGTCTCAGTGGCGACCCTCCGGTCTCACGGCTCGGTATGGACCCTCCGGTCATGTGTCTCGGTGAAGACCTCCGGTCTCACAGCTCGGGTCGGACCCTCTAGTCCTGTATCTCAGTGAAGACCCTCCGGTCTCACAGCTCGGTTTGGACCCTCCGGTCCTAACTCAGTAATGCACAGAACAATATAGCATATATCACAAAGACAAGATGTATAATATCACATAACTCAATATAAGCACATAGGACCCTCCGGTCGATAACTCAAATAAGACCCTCCGGTCACACAACATTACCACTCAGGTAAGTATAGTGAGAAGACTCACCTCGTAAGTAAGCAAGTAGATCTAGTACCCCACGAACAATCTAGATTCCGCCTACGTAACATAATTATCTCTAATAAACAATTTGTAATAACCACTCTAAGATGTTAAGCTAACTCCTCTACTAGATCTCAAAAAGGGTGAAAAGACCATTTTACCCCTCAATGGTCTCCAAAATTCCTAATTTGACCAAACCCTAAAAGTCAACGAAAGTCAACACTCGAGTCAACAACCCATGTTGTCCCAACTTGTCGAGTGCACCTATGCGACCCGTCGAGTTCCTCCTGTCCTCAAAATCGGCAAAACTCCAACTCTACTCGTCGAGTTGTCTCACCAACTCGTCGAGTTGTAGCGCATCCAAACTATCGGGGAAAACCCTAGCTGACTCGTCGAGTTGGCTCATGCACTCGTCGAGTCCCTCTTGACCAAATCTCATTCAGTCCCTCTTGACCAAATCCAGATTTGAAGTCTCAACTCCATGGCAAGCTCAAACAACTCAAGTACTCAAAGAAGGATGGAAAAAGCCCTAAAACTCCCTAGAAAGCGATCTAACAAAATAAATGATCAAGGTGGTAGCTTTTTACCTCCAAACAGAAGCTAACCCTGAAGAATACTGGATCCAGAAGTCCCTTCTCGTTCCAAGCCTTGTTTCTCTCCAACCTCTTTCCAAAAGTGCACCAAAGTATGAAGTGTTAGCCTCTCTTTCTCTCACACAAGGATATAGGTCGATTAGGGATTCTCACAGAGTGTTAGGGTGATAAGGGAGGCGGAAATGAAGGCTTAAGGTTCTTTAAATAGGACACAAACCTTGAAAATTAGGGTTTTCTCACCCAACTCCTACTCGTCAAGTTGGGGTCCTCCAACTCGTCGAGTAGACTCTAAAGATCTAGCGACCCTTAACTCTTCTACTCGGCGAGTTGGGGCATCCAACTCGTCGAGTTGCTGTCATCATGAATGCATATTGATGAAATATTATACCTGGGAGTTGGGATGTTACAGTTTTGTATCGACGAAATTGTATCTACGAGATCTTTAACTCCCGTTTAGATCATTTCAGCTAACAATCAACCGATTTATATTTCAGTTTTTGTGTCTCACACTGCTAAGTTGAAACTTCGAAAAATTATAACTTCCTCATATGAAGTTACATTTGGATGTTCTCTATATGTATGAGTTCACTTTTACGACTACTACGACTTTCGATTAGGCTATCTATCATAAATAACCTTCAATAAAAAACATTTATTTATCATCGTGACAAATAATTATCCTATTATTTTTTAATCATCTAGCCACCTCCAACAAAATTAGTAGACACTATTATTGTTAATTCATACTCGTAGTGTAAATACAGGAGTAAAGAGGGTTGTCATGGTTGGGCTAAGTGGAGTTGATTACCATTTTCTCATTTATCTTTGTAATATGTTTACTTTTCCTTTGGCCAATTTTATTCTTGTATCATACTTTTTACTTTATTGCGATTTAATCACTTGTTAATCATCCACCTTTTAATGTTATTTGCTCTTTCCAAAAAAATAGGATGCATATGGACCATTTACATATTTACAACACATATTTACATAAGGAAAATGACTTACCAAGGTAATCATCTTTGTCGTTTTGTTCACATTTAGACAACTTTTTTTTTGTACACATTTGACCATTTAATTTTTTATATTTGTTCACATATTACCATTGTCACCGACTATAACAGGTGACAATGGTAATATGTACAAAAAAAGAAAGTTGTTTAAATGTGAACAAAATGAAAAATTAATTATGTTTATAAGTCATTTTTTCCACTTTTAATAACGATTTTATTTTTCATATTTGTTTATATTATTTTTTCAAACGTTATTTTTAAAAGTATCTATAATGTCCTAAATATTAATTAAATATAGATCAATCCTAAACTTTACTTTTTATTTAACAAATATGTTTTTGTTTTGTGAAATATTTTATATAGTCTCTTAGTAAATAGTATCTAACAATATAATAAAAATAAATTAAATATCTAACAATAAGTATGGAGGGTCTTTTAAAAAACTAAAAAGAAAATATTACGTAGCAAATAAAAAAACAAAAAAAAATCTATATAATGTAAATGTTTTAAAATTATTACAACTTTTTAATACTTTTTAATTAGAAATTTATAAATTTTTAAACTTTTTAATACAACGTTTTAAACTAGTATTTGACGAAAATATTTTAAAATGTTTTAAAAAAGTATTAAATCGTCATACAAAATCTATGAAACACTTTAAAAAATATTGTAAAAGAATGTATGAAAGTTATATAAAAATTATACGAAAATATAAAAAAAAGTTTAAAACTTGTAACAAAATTTAAAACTTGTAACAAAATTTAAAACATTTATAAAAGAGAAAATTACAAATATAACTAAAATAGTTAATTACTTTGTAAAAATAACCAAAAAAAATCCAAATTACAAAAATAGCCATCAAAATCGTAGATGGATTAAGCCAATCTGCAATTTCACCAAGCCATCTGCGAACGTACAAGTCGCTAAAGCACATCCGTGCTATGTGCTTTAGCGACTTGTACGTTCGCAGATGATTTTTTAATTTTTAATTTTTATTTTTTTATGGTATAAATAGGGGGTACAAGTGACTAAAATCGCAGATGAACTAAGTTCATCTGCGATTTCCTCCCAGTTCATCTGCGATTTCGTTTATTTATTTATTTATTTAATTTTTGACTACGAAATTGATAGAATTTGACTATGAAACAACCATATTATATATAAATTCTTGCAAAAAATTATCACTTTTGTTGTAATTTCTTTGAAAAATTTGTTTAAAATCTTTTTAATAAAATGAATTAATATTTGTTTTTGTCAAATCGTCCATATTGCTTCCAGAGAGAGAGTTCTTCAACGAAAAGTGTGAAAAATAAAACAAACAAAAAAATTTACATTTTTATACCTGCGAAAAATGTGAAATCGCAGATGGAATGTGAAATAGCAAAATTTAAACAATTGTATCAGAAAAACCTATAGGAAAAAAAATATCATAAAAATGTTGTACGAAATTATAAAAAGTTTTAAGAAATTTGTAAAAGAAAAATTGTTCACATTTAAGTAACTTTCTTTTTATTCTACACATTTGACCATTAACTTGTTAAATGTGTAAATATATTACCATTGTCATCTGATATAGTAGATGACAATGGTTAAATATATAAAATAAAATAAAAAAGTTACATAAACATGAACAAGACAAAAAAAGAAAAAAATAATTACCTCAAATCATTTACACATTTACATATTTAGAATAAACATAGGGACCATTTGAAATCAAACTCAATAGTTTGGTGGCTAATAATGACAAAAACTCCTTTATTTTCTATGTTTTTTTTATCTTAAGTTATTTGTAAGAGAAATATCATATTCTGGTAAAATTTAGATTTATAACCTACAAAATCACAGGCATATTCGGTTGCTTGAATCTATCCCCAAATCGGTTTCTTTACGTAGGAGAGACGACGGTAAGATGATGGATCCCGGAGCCGGCCCCACCACAGCAACCCCCAGCACCGACGCTCCCTCGTCAGCCGGTTCGCTGCATTCAACGGACACACCTGCAGCAGCCGTGCAACGGTGGGGTTTTGTGGTGTCACAACGCTTCCAACATTTGCTCGACAAGTCAACGCCGTTCTTGCTCTACCGGTGGATCGTTTTCTTTGCCATGGCGTTCATCTATGGCGTCCGCGTGTTTTTTGTGCAAGGGTTTTACGTGGTCTCGTACGCACTCGGGATATACATCCTTAATCTGCTCATAGGGTTTCTATCTCCTCAGGTTGATCCGGAATTCCAAGACCTTTCCGATGGCCCTACTCTTCCCTCTCGGAGCTCCGATGAGTTCCGCCCTTTTGTTCGTCGTCTTCCCGAGTTTAAGTTTTGGTAATTACTGTTTCTACTCTAAATTCGATTTTCTAATTCCTGATTTCAGTTGCAATATTAACTCTGCGATCAACTGATTTAGTTACTTTAGATTTAGATATTAGATCAAATAAGATCACGTAATGAATTTAGGGATCAACAACCCAACAACACCCGCGAATTGATAGCAAGAAGAACTGGACTGTTGATTTGCAGCATAATCTAGGGTTAGCAATCAGGATGTCTGTGCTGTTAATTGCTAACCAATTAACCATCATTCTTCAAAGCCACCAGTTAAATAATTCTGTTACTGCTCATAATACTGTTCCAATTACTCAATTGTACTTGATAAAATATCTGTCTGGATCCATTTCAAGCAAATTGGTAAGTTCTTCATATTGAAGTTGCTGAATATGTTCAATACACCAATATTACGCAGATACAAATGACCTTCTCCTTACAAAGCTAACCCTGTTACCCAACATTCCAGTCTCTTTTGTTAACTCTTAACAATGAAATCACCAGATGTCAATCTTGTTTTCATTGATGACAGGTACTCGATAACGAAAGCCTTCTGCATTGCTTTTGTTTTGACATTCTTCAGTGCATTTGACGTGCCTGTTTTTTGGCCTATACTCCTTTTTTACTGGGTCATCTTATTCGCTCTTACCATGAAGAAACAAATACTGCATATGGTCAAATACAAATACGTCCCATTTTCGTTTGGAAAACAGGTGCCCTTTATATCTCCATTTTACATTAAAGTTACAAATTATATTTCATTTTGGGGCTATTTGTTACTTAAGTAGCTTATTTTATACAGACTTACAATGGAAAGCGGGGGGCAACATCAACCGAGAGTGCAAGTCTTCTTCCTAGAGACTGAAAGATGTTAAAACAGTTTTATAGATTTTGTTTCCTGTACTACCCCTGAAAGAAGTTAGACTTGACTTTTAATGGTTTGTTTTATGTAGGAGATCATTTCGTACAGGTTTTTAGTAGTCGTAAGTTTAATGTTATAGACAAATGAAGCTTAAGTCTTTTTAAAGAGCTATCATAGTTGTGGATCTATTAAACATGTGGGGAAAATGAGGATCTTATGACATTATGGGATTATATCTGTTTGACATAACAAGTTGTACTGTGTTTGACATAACGTGCATTGGATCAACATTGGGTGTGATGTCAGTATGATAGAAATTGTAAAAAAAATTTACCACCAAAAAAGGCGGGACACGGTCTCGTTCTCAGTCTCTTGTATGTGCAGAAGATGTAAATGGATTCCCCATCCCCCTATCAGAGGAAATAGTTTTAGAAAGTTTGTCCAGTCTGTCTAGTCTAGTGAACTAGTCCAGTCATCTGTGTTCATGTTTACCCTATTCAAAAAACACATATATTATCGGTTAGTGTAGGTTTCCAGCCAAATATGAATTTTCTGGTCATCGTCTCAAGCGCGCATACACACCCTTACAAGTCGTACTTAGATCCATGGCAGGTATGAATTCGTTGAAGGCACACACATCCATGACACATGAGTTTTTGGCCAAACATGAACACATACATTCATATCTGAAAGTGTTGAAGGTACATACATGGCATGATTATGATGAACACACATCAATTGCAGATCGATAACATGATTTTTTGGCTTATTTTTCGGATGAACATGGTTTTGTACTTGCATGTGAAAATTGTGGGTATTTCGAGTTCATCCATGGGGTTTCTTTTTGGTTTTGTTGGGAATAAGCGTTTTTCGAGTTCAACCATGGCAAATTTAGGTTTTTTTGGAGCTCTTACATGACAAATTTGAAACTGATTTTCACGTTCATCCATGGAGTTCATCGAGTTGATTGTTGGGTGTTCATCCAGATTGAGTTTTTGATGAACAAACACACAAGAACTACAGATCCAAATAAAATTGCCGGAAGATTTTTGTTTCACCGGAGAAGATGACCGAAAGCTCGTCGGAGCTGTGTGGGGCGCCTGCAGTAGTTGGTCATAATCATATTTTTTTTAACATGGTAAATTTTGTACAAAAAATATGACTAAATGTATATATCAAATAATGTTCCTTACCCTTATAACTCTTCAACAAATTCATCAAGACACTTGAGAGAAATGCTATGGAATTGAGTTAGTCGACTTGGTAACCAAATAGTGATGGAATAGAATCATGAATAGTAATTTATTGGAATGTGTCGGAATCCAAGAGACAAACATATCTTTATACTATGTTTATTTATGAGTTTTTCTTTTGCGAATTTTTTTTTTGGGAAATAAAGTATCTTTTAGGATGGAAAATATGAAAAAGGAGAAAGGGGAAAGAGATTTTATTGTTTTTAGAAAGAAAGGGAGGAAATATTTCACAATAATAAAAATGTATAGTTTCTTATGTACAAAGAGAAATTTGTAATCACTTTAACTTCCCTTTACGTAAAAAATAAGACTTTTTTCAAACTGAAAACATAATTAAAATAATATTTTATTCTTTCTTTTCTTGTACTTTTCTTATTCTATTTTCCTGGTTCTATCTAGGGAGAGAATTATGGGGAAAACTGAAAAGGAATATTACAATCTTTCTCTCATTCTATACAATTCAAGAAATAGAGAGCAAATGGTGGTGACTATTTTTATATTGTTTATATTGATGAAAACTTTGAGAAAAAACTTTATTGAGCTTTTTTTGTTCAATTTTTTCAAATGTACCTTCTATTAGTTATAAAAAAAACACAATATTTTACATGTTTTTTTATATGTTATTATATATATATTCAATTAGTTTATAAGCTAATTTTACCAAATGTTATTTTTTAGCATATATTTTTTGAGCTAATTCGTCGACCATCTTAAAGTTTCAAGTTTGTGTTTGTTGCTTTCGGTCATCTTGTTAATTCTTAACTAATATACTCTGCCTCTGGTATTTAACTAATATAATATGGCTTCTATAAATAGAAATTCGTTTCATGAACAACACGTTTTCATCCATTTTTGCAGTAAAATATGTTTATAGATGGAAAAGTCAATCTTGGAAAGAAAAAAATAAAAAGAAACGATTCTTTCAATTTTCCTCATGTTGCATATGATCACGTTAGTCGTTAGGTAGCAATATTTATAAAAAAAATCAATTTAATTTCATAAATAAATAATCTATGAGAAATTAAATATCCTCCTTCCAATACAATAAAACCTTTAGTCCTGTTCCAAATCAAACTCAAACTCGTATAAAATCCTTCTATAAATATTACAATCATGAATCATTATTAATTTCTTCGCTAACAAATAACCTCCTTTTTTTTTTTTTTTTTTTTTTTTTTTTTTTTTTTTTGTAAAATCAATGCAAAATTCAATAATTCATACCCAGTTATGTGAAAATATATCAGTTTCTCCGGCCGTAAACCATCAAGATGCCGGTGGCCGGTAATACCCATAAACACCGTAAACCGTCTGTGTTGCCGTGAGGATGAGCAGAATCACGGCGGCGAAAAACGAAATAATAGCCCAAGGATTGCTAAAATAGTTATGAATTAACGTCGCTCGCCATGAATTCCACCGGTGATTATAAAACTCGTTCACCTTCTCCGATAACTCCGACAGATAACTGTTATTAATATCGAAAACCACCTCCTGACATAACCGATTGAACAGATCCGCCACATCTGCATCACTCCCTAACCAATGCTCAAAAATCCCACTGTAATGGAGGTATCCCACGTCCTCCGGCGAGTTTATCAAATTATCCATAAAAATCACATACGACGTTATCTCATTCCCGCAGTCCAAATGCGATTGCTCGAATGCTATCAGATTAAGAAACAGAGATTTCGTCCCATCGTGGATTAACAGCCGGGGGATCTTTAGAACTCCGTTTTCGAATTTAATATCCCAGAAACGATCGGTTTTTCGTTTTTTGAACTTCATTCCGGCTTCTTTAAGCTCGGTTACACAGTGGATGAGCTGTGTTCTACGTTTATCGGCGACACGGTTACTATGCGACCACCGTTTGATCCATCTTCTTGGCTCCATCTGTGGTCCTCTACTCAATAGACTCTGCCGGAAAACATGGAGACAGTGAAGATATGACTGGTCCGATAACGGGTCAAACGCGCTGGAAACGTCATGCCCTCGAGACGATTTCATTTTGCTCCGGTGGCTTTTCGTCAACGGTTCATCGGTTGGCATTAACGGGTCGAAGAATCGTAGAGCCAGCTTCGCGACTAACCCTTTCTGATCTGGTTGTCCAAATTGGAGCCCTAATAATCTGTCAAGGATGAACAAAGGAATCTGATTCTCGAGCATTATCATGTCTCTTTGAATCGAATGCATCGACCCTCGCATTGCAAAAACCGGATCGCAACGGGAATAACCGAGTTCCGAGAACCCTTCTGCAGCTCCCCGGAAAAGCTCGAGTGCAAAACAGCCATCGAGAACCATCATTTCCACGAATTCGTTACTGCTGATAGTAATCTGTCCTTCGTAGCAAGCTCTTGCCCTTTCTTCGAGTTCTTTAATGGAATCGATGTAGAGTTTAGCATCTTGATTACCACGTTTCAGAATCTGGTGAAACGCCCGCCATTTATGGCGATCCATGTTTCTCAGGCGTTTTTTTCCATGGTGGTAAGGCCCTAAAGAGACGATGTTTGGAATATAAGCTTTATCTTCACCATCGCGTAAATACTGAGGAACTTTATAGATGCAGAGCTTTCCCCAAGTTCCGGCGACGTCGTCTTTCTGAGCAACCTCAAGCCTTTCTCTAACCGTGATCATCCATTCCGATTCCGGCGATTTTGGACCTTCTTTTATGGTTTCCGAACCACCATTGATATCAATCTGCAGTGGTTCATATGACTGTTGATTCTCTTCGCCGGAAAAGTTGATCGATCGGCTGGTAGTTGGGATTCCGGCGTCGACAGTTTCTTTGAGCTTTAGAGTAATAAGATACCAGCTCAAAAGCTCCTTGTTGAACACAGCCACCATTTTTTCTGTTGAAGAAAGATTATGCTAATGCTTTCAATAAAAAATGGAACCTTGATTGTTCTTATTATTTTTAAGTAACTTGCGAAAACAGAATGATGGCAAGAAAGTGACGTTACAACTGTTCAAATTATATCAATAATTTATATCTGATTTTATCCAATAGAATGCTTAAACGCAACCAAAATTGACTTTTGGATTAAAAGGATTAGTTAATTAATTTGCATTCAACTCTAAAGACCACATGCTTTTCTGACTCTAATGATAACTTCATCTCCTAGAAATAGGTTTGCTTTAGTTGCTTGTACTGTTCAAGTGCTTAAAGCACGTTTTATGGTTAACTTTCTGCATATAACCCTAATAGTGTCAATGGTCAATTTAATAGCTGGATAACCCGACCCGACCCGACCCGAGCGTCATGAGTCATGACCCTACAACGGCCAAACTTTCATCCCCTCCACCAACACCCCATTACCATCTATGATTATGAAAACGATTTCATTTCATGTGCCACATTCTTTTGGCATGATTAAGCCACGTGTGTTTTTATATATTAATAAGGGTCATTGTCTAATGAAGCTTCTAACATTTATTTCCCCTAGGTAAGTGAGATCGTTCACACCACATACTTGTCCTAAAGGCAGATGAGATGTAATACATTGTGAGTTATCTTTCTTATGAATGTTGAATTGTTGATTGTTACTTTCTTTTAGTACCAAAATAAGTATGTTTCATTAGCAGGTTGAGATGCCTTAAATCCTAGCATAAATGAGAAATCTTTTAAAATTTTGGAGCTTTACATCATAATACTAAACGTGTCCTTATTTTCCAGTTTTATCTTTTGTTTCATTTATGCTTTCATACTCTTGTTCTAACAAATAAACATAATATGCAACCTTTATCTCATGGTCATACATTGTCATCGTACCCACACTCATAACATGTGGGGAAATTACAAAAATTGTAATTGGGAAGTTTGGGTGTATAATCGGTTTGACATTTTGTAATTTTTGTGTTGTTCTTCTTGCTCAACATTGTCTCTTCTAGGATGTGACCTTTAATATAATTCCGCATTTTTCCAAAAAAACATGTGGATCAGTTCCGCTTCAGAGCCACCATCTCCCACATACATTTTCATTAAGAAGTAGCTAGCTCTAGCGTAACCCAAAAAGTCGAATTAAATAAAAAGTTTTGTTCCACATACGGATTTTTAGTTTTTATTTTAAACAAAAAATTTATAATTCAAAAGTTATTTCAAGTTTGATTTTTGAGACATGTTAGCTTTTGATTTTATGTCTCACCTAGTTTTTTCCAACACATGTATTGCCCTCTTTTTTAAGGTTGAGGGTTCAAGTCCTACAATAGACATAATATTTAGGGGTAGTTTACTATATTTGTCGTTTAAAAAAAATAAACCAATAAATAAAATAAAAAATAAAAGATATACTTTTATAATTGTTTGAATTTACTAATTTTATGCCGACCCCGACTTAATCACTATTATGCAAACATTATTTTAACGAAGACTTTTAATTACGATTACGCAAACATTATTTATTTGTGTTCATATTATATTTAAATAATGTCTTGATAGATACATTTTTTTATTTCACTTCTTGATATGTTCAAATGGAGTTTCTTTAATCACTATTATGCAAACATTATTTATGTGTGCTCATATGTTTTATAATAATGTCTTGATATTTACATATTTTATTTGTCATGTTCAACTGATGTTATGGCATTGGCAGTTCTTCTATGTATTGACCTCTTATAAAAGAGACTCAAAAGTATAATTACGGTAGTAAATACTATAATTGTACATATAGGGGAAGATTTAAAACGAGAATGTAAAAAAAATTAAGAATACAAGAATAAAATACAAGAATAAATCTCAATCACTAACTTTTAACATATTCTTTTATAAAAAAAAACACAAATATATCATAATTCATAAATTTGTATTCTCTATAAATAATTATTCATATCAACATAATGTTTTTTTAAAGTAAAACAAAATTTTTATTACTTTTTATTATTTTCGTTTTCATATGTTTTATTTAAATATAAATAAACCTTTTATTTGATTGATATTAAAACTTATTTTTTATTGATATGTGAATAAGAACTAGGTTCAAATGTTTCTCATATCTATTGTCTGCTAATTTGCACCAATAAAAATTTAGTAAAAATTAAATGATATTCATAATTATAATTTTTTATGGAAACTAATTAAATTCGTCATTAATATCAACAATAATATTTTTTCAGAATGAATTTGCATCTACGTTTTTATATATGGGTTCGTATTTTGTTTCATTACCTACTCACTCAAAATACAACAAAGTTGCCTCGAACATGGATAACGAGAGTGTATTCTAGCAGACTGAGAGTTTTTTCTAGAAGAATGAGAGTATATTCTAACAGAATGAGAGTGTATTATAGTAGAATACACTCTCGTTCTTCATATTCCATGCAACTTTGTTGTATTTTAAGTGAATGAGTCCAAAAACAAAACACGAACACATACATGAAAACCTAGATGCGAATTCATTATGAAAGAATGTTATTGTTGACATTAATAACGAACTTAATTAGGTTCAATAAAAAGAGAATTATAGATATTGATATCATTTAATATACATACAATTAGGAAAATCATTTAATATATATCTTTATTTAATTAAATAATTATTTAATTTTACTAAATTTCTATTTGTGCATTCTAGCACACAATAAATATAAGAAACACATGAACCTAGCTCATGTGAATAAACTATAGGTATACACCGTTTATACGCATATGATTAAATAAGAGTTTTAATATAGCAAATGACTACTAGCTCAGCTGGTAAGATGCATCCAGGTTTTTCCCCTTAGGGGCTTTTCTCATGGGAGGTAGTGGGTTCGAGCCTTGTTCGGATCAAAGTGGTGAAAAATAGGGGGCAGAAAGGGAGGCGCCCGATTTCGGGCTGCCCGCTTTGCGGACCCGAGTCTAACGTTCCCGTGTACGCCGACATATATTGACTCCGCATATATATATATATATATATATATATATATATATATATATATATACACACACACACACACAAATGTGGATTAATAAAATATAAAATGTTATAAATTTTAATATACTCAAAAAGAATCTAGATAAATATATCTAGCTGACATTTCTTTTTTTCATACTTTCACTACTTTTTTTTATTTTTGTTTCAATCTAGCATGTAAATGTATTAGATCTTAGGAAAATAGATTTATTAAGATAATTAACTTTTCGGTTTGTTGTTCACATATAGGTAACTATCTTTTTTTTTATACACATTTAGGTCACGAATTTTTTGGAAGTGTTCACATATGACCATTATGACCGGATGTAACATACTAAAGCCGGTCATAATGGTCGTATGTGAACACTTTCAAAAAGTTCGTTACCTAGATGTGTACAAAAAAAGATAGTTACCCATATGTGAACAAACCGAAAAGTTAATTACCTCAATAAATCTATTTCCCTAGATGTTATCATATTTCTATGTCTTTTTCAAGTACAAAATTTATCTGCTTATTTTATTTATACCACTTCTTTTACAATGTTGTTGTGTTTATCTTTCTTTTTAAAATCCACTGCTCTCCTCTTTTATTGTATATCTCTTTGCATTTATGGGGAATCTTACATAAAAAGTCTTTGTGTAGTCCTTGAATTTGCGAAGATGTTTTTGTATAGACAATTTTTTTTTCTTTTTTTTATAGAAATGATCTCTATAAGAAACAATTACAAAGATAGTCTTTGCGTAGAAAATCTCCAACCCATTCTTATTTTTCATATTTTTTCTTATTTTTTCTTATTTTTCTCCAACTCTACCTCATTTATTCCCTCATTTTTTAGGATATGAATAGTATTACACCATATTTGATGTAACACTATTCATATCCCCCAAAATGGAGATGAACTTTGAGTTATCGTTTTTAATCATTCTTTCTATATATTTATACATTTCTAGTTTTATTTTTATCTACTAACTATAATTTAAATGTAATATTTAATATTTATATCATTTTGTTATATATTGAATTATATTAATTAATTATAAATATAAACTTTGTTTTTTTGTGTATCAAATTCATATAAAAATTTAAATACATATTGAAAGTTTAAAACACGATAATGTATTTTACAAAATCTTATAATTAAAATATATATTAAAAATGTGTATGCGTAATATTTATATAAATGTATGTATAATATTATTGTACTGAAAAAATATAGATTATAAATTTGTTAAATAAATTAGTAGAAGAGTTGTGTTTGACAATTTATGTAAGTTGGAAGAATAGAGTATAGTAGGAATACATTTTTTGGGGTAACAACTGAAGTAAGGTTTGAGATGAAACACTATTTACCCAATTTTTTACTCTATTTTTTAGAGAAAAAATGAAAGTGAGTTGGAGATGGTCCAAGGATGAAGGAAGTTGCTATTTATTTATTGCTTATTTGGGGAGGGGGTGGCAGTACCGTTGAGGTCACTACTCCGAGACAAAAGTGGTACCGCTCAAAGGGTCGTATGCGGGTTGATGAAGCTGTGAATCTTCCAACGCCTCCGATTTTGAATGTTTTTTTTTAATAAAGTTTCTTATTATAAATATCTTTTTTTACCATTTCCAACCACACATTTCTTTCTTTCAATTCCATTACGTTTTACTATACTTTCTTTTACATTTCAATTCAAAATTTGAAAATAGATATCATTCATAGATCAGTTGTTGTTAAAATAAAATAAAAAAATAAAATATACATTTAATATATAATCTCTCTCTCTCTCTCTCTCTCTCCACCGTATCTCCCCACTTCTTCTTCAACCATTATATGCATTCTGAATCATTTTTCTGCATAATTTCTTTGGCAAAAGCCCTAATTTCATCTAATTTTAAATCACTAATATCATCAACTCCCTTTTTCCCCTTCAATTCCTCTAAAAACCCATTGAAATCATCTTTGGTAAGGC